GACATTGCGAGATAGTTTCCCACTTCAATTTGTTGTGTGATTTGAATACTCTTTTTGTTAATAAATCCCCCAAGTAGTTAATATGATTCGCTTAATTATATTTTTTATTTTTTATTTTTTAAAACAATTATTATTATTATTATTATTATTATTATTATTATTATTATTATTATTATTATTATTATTATTATTATTATTATTATTATTATTATTATTATTATTATTATATACACTTAGATCACTTTACATGTTAATCTAAACAACTAATTTTTTTCAAATATGTTTTTACCAACCGTTGATATAATTTGCTGGTCAAATTCGCTAATATAATCCGCTAACGCTAACCGGGAACAGATGATTACCAAACAAGGACATTGCGAGGTAGTTCTCACTTCAATTTGTTGTGTGATTTGAATACTCTCTTTGTCATCAAATTCCTCAAGTAGTTAATATGATTGACTTTATTAATTATATATTTTTTTATTTTTTTCATGGTATTAATAAAATACTTGGTAAATGAATATATAGCATTATTTTGTATTACAACTTTGATATTTAATTAAAAATAGTGCATAAAAAAAGATAATAAACAATGTAGTGAATATAATCAATTGATGAATTTGAATGTAAAGAATTTTTACATTAGAGAAATATAAAGACAATATAACTAATAAAATTATTTCTCTTAATTAATTTATTGATAATGAATAATTTTTTTAATAAAGACATTGTAGGGACAATGTAGCGAATATAATCAATTGATGAATTTGAATGTAAAGAATTTTTATATTGGAGAAAAATAAATACAATGTAACTAATGAAATTATTTCTCTTATTTAATTTATTGATAATGAATAATTTTTTTTTAATAAAGACATTGTGGACACATAATTCTAAATTAAAGAAATGCATATGTATTATTTTGTGTTGTAGCTACTAAATTTTTATTTAATTTAATAAGATTAAAATAAAGTACTAATTATGCCAATTTTGATTGGGATGAGGTTCGAACCTAAGAACTTTCTTATTGAAATCAATGAGTAAGTTAACATTGAACTAACAGAAATTAACAGAAAAAATAAATTTAACGAAAAAGTTAATGGATAATCATATTCATTAAGGATAAATTAGGAAATCTTAAGGAAAAAATAAAATCTAATCAATCTGAGTCATTCATTTGATTAGAAAATTTGACCGCCATTTTTTCTACCCATTATAGGTCAAACTCTCTTGGGCTCTTATTAGTATAGTAGAATATATATATATATATATATATATATATATATATATATATATATATATATATATATATATATACACCCTTAGGTCATTTTACATGTTAATCTAAACAGCTAATTTTTTCAAATATGTTTTTACCAACCGTTTATATAATTCGCTGGTCAAATTCGTTAATATAATCCGCTAACGCTAACCGCTAATAGATGATTGTCAAACAAGGACGTTGTGAGATAGTTCTCACTTCAATTTGTTGTGTGATTTGAATACTCTCTTTGTCAACGAATCCTTCAAGTAGTTAATATGATTGACTTTATTAATTATATTTTTTAATTTTTTCATGGTATTAATAAAATATACTTGGTAAATGAATATATACCATTATTTTGTATTATAACTTTGATATTTAATTAAAAATAATGCACAAAAAAAGATAATAGACAATGTAGTGAATATAATCAATTGATGAATTTGAATGTAAATAATTTTTACATTGGAGAAATCTAAAGACAATATAACTAATAAAATTATTTCTCTTAATTAATTTATTGATAATGAATAATTTTTTTTAATAAAGACATTGTAGGGACAATGTAGCGAATATAATCAATGGATGAATTTGAATGTAAAGAATTTTTATATTGGAGAAAAATAAATACAATGTGCTAATGAATTATTTCTCTACCAAGTGGTTTATGGTCCACTGGTATCGGGTTGTTCCTCTAAGTGGGAGGTGAAAGGTTTGAACCTCAACTTGAGGTAAGTAGTGTGTATATGTAGGGTATCCCCTTCCTTATAATATAAAAAAAAATGAATTATTTCTCTTATTTAATTTATTGATAATGAATAATTATTTTTTGAATAAATACATTGTAGACACATAATTCTAAATTAAAGAAATGCATATGTATTATTTTGTGTTGTAGCTACTAAATTATTATTTAATTTAATAAGAGTAAAATAAAGTAGTAATTATGCCAATTTTGATTGGGATGAGGTTCGAACCTAAGACCTTTCATATTAAAATCAATGAGTAAGTTAACGGTGAACTAACAGAAATTAACGGAAAAGATAATATTTAACGGAAAAGTTAACGGATAATCATATTCATTAAGGATAAATTAGAAAATCTTAAGGAAAAATTAAAATCTGATCAATCTGAGCCATTCATTTGATTAAAAAATTTGACCGCCATTTTTTCTACCCATTATAGGCCTAACTCTTTTGAGCTCTTATTAGTATAGTAGATAGATAGTAGATAGCACTTTCCCCTTGTTTCACTATTCACTCATTAGAAAATTTCAGCAACACTCATCCAACATCTTTCTCTCGTGTCTCTCACCCTCTCCATCATCTCTTCATTTTAGAGCTTCTTCTAGCAAAGTCTAGGTTCAAGACTTGAGGTTAAGCTGGTAAGCTTCTCTCTTCTTCCTCCCTTTTCTATTTCTCTATTAGCTTGTCTTTAAGATAGATTATCTAAGCTTAGATGTGTTTTTGGGTATTGTTTTGGTTATTGCTTGAGAAATGGAGATGGTAAAGAAGCATACCTAGCTTGAGGTTGGAGATGGAAGGATTCTTGAGGTTGAAAAGTTTGAGGTATAACCCATGGAAACCTAAAACCTAGCTAATTACCCATAAAATCTGTGAATGTTTGTTATATAGTTAAATGTTGATATTTGATGCTTGATATTGTTGAAATGTTTGGTGTTTTAATGTTTATATGATATGGGTTTGATGAAATTTGATGTTGTGAAGCTATTTGATTTTCTGGGGAATTTTGATATGGTTTTGGGGTATGGTGATTGTGGCGGTGACACCTCTTAAATTTGATTAGTAAGTTTATTATGCTTGTTTAATATCCATTTCTAAGTTAAGTATTTGTTAATAATGTTTTAAAAAAAGTGGGGTGTTACAGATCAACCCGAGTAAAGGGCATTGGGAGAAGTGTTCCTACTTATGATCGATAAGATTAATAAAGGTCTCTAGACCGTTCATCCCGAGTAGGGATAGAAATAGGACGAGTCGAGCCGAGCTTTAGAAAATTAGGCCTGGGCCTGTTACGAAAATCTAAAGCCTAGGCCTGGGCCTGAGCCTGTATATAGGCTTTTTGTTAGGCTCATGCCTGAGCCTACAATTGGTCTGGCCTGAAACTTTTTTAAAAGTCTGTTTAATATTTATGCCATTAAAAAGGCTTCAAAGTATATCCTACTTTGAGCCTATTTAAAACCTGCATGTTAAGACTTTTTAAAAACTTTAATAAGTATATCTAAATAATTTAAGAAATATACCTAATACAAAATTAATACATAATTACATAAATATATCACCACAATGTAAACATAATAACATTAAAATATAAAATAAAATAAAAAAAAAGTCACGACTTCAGCATGCTCGTTAACTTGTTTAGAAATAAATTCAATTGTATTATTGTTTGTTATCCTATATAATCTCATAAATAATTAACAATCAACTCACATAATTAAGTTGCGACATTTCTTATGACAGTAAAAACAGTTAATAAAAAAATCAAATAATAAGAACACTTGTAGCAGGATTAGCAACAATGTTTATAGTTGAATCATAATTTGTAATGAGATTTTGGAAGTAGAGTGTTAGGGATTGGTAATTATATATACTTGGAGTTATATTGTAATATAAAAATATACGGAGTATTATTTATAAAATAGAATATATATATATATATATATATATATATATATATATATATATATATATGACGGCCGAACCTGGTATATATAGGCCTGGTCTGTTTAGTTTAATAGGCTTTAAAATTCGCTCAAGTCTGACCTTTTTACTAAACGAGTTAGCCCTAACTAGGCCTTAATTAGGTCAAGACATAGGCCCTACAAGGGGCCTGACCTATTCCCACCCCTAATCCCGAGTAAAGGGCCTTGGGAGAAACATTCCCACTTATGATCAATAAGAGAGAAAAAAAATAAAAAATAAAAAGGTCTCTAGATCGTGACTGAATCCAATCCCCTTATTGGTAAAATTGGATCTCTAGATCACAAAAGATTGTACTCATGGTTGTACTCATGGTTGTACTCTTTTCCCTTAGCTAAGTTTTTTAACGAGGCAACCAGCATAAATCACGCACCCTATGCTCATCTCGGACTTGAGGGGCCCATCGCGGACTATGGGATCATATTTTTCAGCCCGAACCCTTCCTCATTTGCTCGACGTCAGGGCATAGCCTCGGGAGACTATTTGATAGGGATTATTCTCCTGATATACCTCCCTATACTTTCTGTGCATCTATTCGGTATTCAAGTTAGGGTCTAATGTCCTTTGGGAAATGCTTTGCTCCTGAAGGGTCAGTCACCCACCTATATAAAGAGGTCCTTCTAAACACAAAAGAGGGGAGAGCTTGCTCTCTCTGGGGGCTTGGGCAAAATGAATACGACATGCAATAATAAAGGCTTCTTGGAGCCAATTTCTCTCATCTACTCTCTACTTCTCATACATTTTTTTTTAATATGCACATTGCATACGCTGCATGGATTTGCTCTATCAATTTCATTTCTAATTAGTATTGCAATTTTCAGGATTCGTATTACATTTCTATATCGACCACCGATTTGACTTGTTTTTATTCATAAGACGATCTTGTAACCCTTAAAAATTAAATTATTTAAAAAATTATTTTTTAAGTTTCTAAACTAATTTGAAATAAAATAAAAGAAAAGATTATAGGATAATATGCAAGAGTTATAACCACTAAATTGTAAGAAACTAAGAAAGAAGCCACAAAAGGAGAAGGGTTGGAGATGCCTTATAAATCGGCATGTTCTACTATTCCTTATCATCCGGCGCTATGTGTATATATAGGAAAGAACTCAAATTGCACTAGTTTTAAGGAACTAAAAAAAATTTGTTGCAGACCCGATTCCGGAGTTGCGTACTTCTCCGATGCTGCCGGTGCACGCAAAGGATTTCGTCACCACTATCTCCTCCGATATTTCGATGCCCTTTGATTTCTCTTTGAACTGTTATCAATCGCGGTTGCTCTTGATATTCCCAAAAGGGAAGTAAGAGTAAGAAAGTATAAGAAAACCCAATTGAAAGGTACCAGAAATTATGGCTTCTATATTCGGCCGCAGACTCTTGCCTGGTAACATCGTTTGGCGTATTACACAATTAAAAGGTTTTCCCCCCTTAAAATCCTTTTCTGCTTCAACTATGGTTTCAATAGTTCTGGAAATTAATGAAGTTTTTTCTTTGTTTTGGGAGGTGAGGTTGAGAATATTGGTTTCAAATTGGATTTTTCTTTCAGTAGTGTACTGGTGTATAGAAGTGCAGGATACAATGAACATTTGCAAGTGAAATGGCTTCTTTTTTAAATTTAATTTTCTTAATGAAGAATTAAAGTTTTGATTTTTTTTTTTTTCCAAGTCTGAAAACCCCAGGAGTGTATAAATGTGTGTGTGTGGATATTGGTAAAAGATATAGGTATAATTTTGGCATGTTTATGATCATATATAAACTTCAGTGTTTTATTTGAATTTATGGTGAATGCAAATTGATCCTTGATTTAGCTTTGTAATTCAGTCTCATGTTCAAGGGGTAGTGAAATGCATTGTTATTGTAAGCTGAAAAATCTGGAGTACATGTTTGGGATATGGTAATTTTTATGGTGTGTTTATATTTTTCTTTTTTTCAATTGGTCTTGTAGATTGTATGTGTTTGGGTTGGTATGCCAAGGGCTAGGATGAAGGGAAGTGAAAGAAAGGGTGTGAGGCAGTTATTTACCATATTATGTTATATTATATCCACCAATATAAGAAAATGGAAGTGGAACATATAGGGTGGTAATATTGCCAGAGTAGTATTATCAACACTTCCATAATAGGACTAAATGAGAAATTAGTTCTCCTTTGCTTCATATTTTTAATTACCAAATCACTTCCACTTCCAAAAAACATGAATCAATATTAAATGCTTCATATTTCATGTGACTTATTCAATTAGTTTCATTGAACATAGGAAAAAGGAGAATATTGTACTGATTTTCTTTATCTTTACAAATGCTAACATGCCCCTATACATATAGGTAACAAGGAACTGAACTTATAGGGTATACTTTCAACACTCTCCCTTAAGTTGGAGCATGTATATCATATGCTCAAAGCTCATGTTACTAATATACTCAATCTGTTGAATGATTTCTTTGCCACCTTCTTCCCCCCATCTGTTTTGCTGAAGTTGTTTCTCTTTTCTGTTGGACAGATAATGTGGAGTTGTATTCGCTTTCTTTGGATATAAAACATAAAATTCCTTTTGGTGTTTGTAATTGTTCAAGGCAGTGGAGCAGTTTAGCTGGCACAAAGAAAGTAGATTTTACAGACCTTACGTAAGAAATATATATTACAGTGCTTGTTTATTTCTCCCCCTTTGATGAACTGTAATATTCACAATGCTTATATTTTCTTTCGTTATGGTACTAGTCGTCCTCACACATGGTACCCACATGCACGAAGGAAAAAACGGAATGTTATTTTACATGTGGGTCCAACAAACAGTGGTAAAACACATCATGCCCTCAAACAACTCCAGTCAAGTTCTTCTGGTAAATTCCAAATGCTATTATTATCAGAATTTCATTGATTCTATTTTCCTGGTCTTTTGTAGTCAAGTTAATTCATATAAGATAACCGGTTCAAATTAATCTACAGGTATTTATTGTGGACCATTGAGGCTGTTGGCATGGGAGGTGGCAAAAAGGTTGAACAAGGCAAAAGTTCCTTGTGACCTTATAACTGGGCAAGAAAGGGAGGAATTTGATGGTGCAAAGCATAAGGCTGTTACTGTAGAAATGGCTGATGTGACTTCTGACTATGGATGTGCTGTTATTGATGAGATTCAGGCATGTAATTTGTTTATAGTTTAATTTACTTACAAAAACTTAAAATTGTTAATTAAGAAACACTGTTATCCATTCAAAAGTGACAGCAAATCTACCATGATGCAGTAGACACGTCATAAAAAGCCTTGTTGCCCTTAAAATTTACACATTCTTCCATAGGCTGCATTAGCTAATGCTTCATGCTTTTGAAGCATAATGCAGGTTTTTATTCAATTTTGTTTGCACTTGGTAGGTATCACATATTTATTGGGATGCGACTTTGCTAGCCCTTTATTGGGATGTGTAGAGTTATTTATTTATTTATTTTTTTGTAGGTAAGGTACCATGGATTTTGTTAAGAGTCCCACATTGATAAAATAAGAGAGAATATATGGGTTTATAAGGCCATGGGTTAGACTAACTAATTGGTAGGATTCAATCTTTTAGTGTGGTTTGGCTCATGTGCTTTATAGCCCAATTGAGTGACCTTAGCTCTATCTTAGTTTATAACATGGTATCAGAGCCTGTTTGGTCCACTTTGTGTTTACCCTGTTATGGGTATTGATGGCGTCCAAGCTTTCATAAGCCCGCTTGTCCAGTTCGGTCCAATTTCTGTCCACTTGAGGGGGAGTAAGAGTCCCACATTTTGATAAAATAAGAGAGAATATATGAGTTTATAAGGTCACGGATTAAACTAGCTAATTGGTTGGATTCAACCTTTTAGTGTGGTTTGACACATATGCATTATAGACCAATTGATCAGGGTACCAAATAGTGGTGTTTATTATGATTTGTAGTCTTATATGCAATCTTATAGTTTGAATAGTTTGTATGAGCAGCGGTTGTGTTTGTTTTTAACCCTACGTAATAATAACTAATGTTGTATTAAATGCAACCAGAATGATTAATTGTCAGTATTGCTTTTAAACTAATTAGCACTATAATTACACATTATAAGTACTATCAAGTTGAGGTTGATACTCAGACACAATTGTTCATCTATTTTTGTGAAACTGATTTTGTTTAACCATTATTCTCTATTTTATACAGATGATTGGGTGTAGAACAAGGGGTTTCTCATTTACACGTGCTTTATTAGGAATATCTGCTGACGAGCTGCACTTGTGTGGAGATCCTGGAGCTGTTCCTTTAATTGAGGAAATCCTTAAAGTGACTGGTGATAGTCTCAAGGCATGTTTTCCTAGTTGGTGTCAACTTTTCAATTTATTTTTTGTTTTTATTTTTTTTAATAAATCTTTTATACATGGGTGAAAAGATCCATAGACTGGGAAGTGCTTGTTTTGAACTTCTAAAAGCACTGATGGGAAAATGAATCACAAACTATATTCATATTATCAGTTTCATGAAAAATGAATAATCTAATAAAACCTAACTATTGTGGATCTGAATTGATAGTTTCTTCAGAAACGTGTAAACGATACTTGGGATAATCTTGGTAGGCCACTCATTTATCCCAAATTTGTGGTGCTTGATGTCATATGATTTTTGACTGCTACAATAATAACTGTTTCTTATTTCTCTACTATGCTTCCTAGGTTGAATACTATGAGAGGCTCTCACCCCTTGTCCCGTTAAAGGTTCCTTTGGGCTCTTTCTCCAATATACGGACTGGCGACTGCATTGCGGCCTTTTCACGTTCTAACATTTATATGTTTAAGGTGAGTTTTCAATATCTGGACTCGTTATAAGTCTCGCATCAGCTTGGACATTGAGCACCAGCCAATCACTCCATACACCACCCATACTCCCTCCCCTCTTAAGAAAAAGAATTAAAAAATAATATGAAATCCTTTAGCCCCTTCTTGTACATAACAAAGAGAACTAAAGAACTTAAATAGAATTTTTACTTGGTGTTGTGTTCAGTGTTCTGGTGGGTAGTACATGTTCAAGTGATAATGTGACTATGTTTAGATCATAAATTGGATTTAAATTTATTACAAAAATTTAAAGTTAACATGACAAACCCATCTAGGTGAGTAATAGACTGTTCTCTGTCTCTTATCTTCTTTGGTGATGCTGACAGAAACAAATTGAAAGTGGAGGAAAGCATCTTTGCTCTGTTGTTTATGGTTCATTGCCACCAGAGACTCGGACCAGACAGGTGGAGCTTCTGCCTCTATGTATTGTCTCTGATTAGGACCAGATTAGTCTTCGTATGAAGTTCAAAATGTTCTCCAGTTTGTTATTGGTGGCTATTATATCCTAAAAATGGGTAAGATCGAGGCAACAATTATGTTCTTTCTGGCTGCAGGCAACAATGTTCAATGATGCAAACAGTGACTCTGATGTTCTGGTGGCAAGTGATGCGATTGGGATGGGTCTCAATCTTAACATATCTAGAATAATCTTTTCTACATTACAAAAATTCGATGGCGTTGAAATGCGGGATCTGTCTGTACTTGAGATAAAACAGATTGCCGGTACATTTTCATCTCTATTTTGAAGTAAAAGGATCACCGATTTAGTAAGATCAAAGGTGGTGTTTGATTGGGCACTTTTATATCCTATTATTAGATATTAGATTTGATTCTAATTACCATATTTGTTTGCCTACTTTTACTACCTTTTTTTTTTTTTTGGTCCTACTTTTACTACCTTGCTATTGGATTCAGATCCTTTAGTAATCATAAAAGTTAATCCTCTTTTAAACATTGGAATTAAAAATGAAAGAAAAAATAAAAAAAATAAGGTATGTATTCTCCATGCTTTCAATGTAGAGTTTTAATGTATATACACATATATGTATGTGTATATATATTATGCACTTTTATATATTTGTTTATTTATATTGTGGCCTCCCAATAGCTTCATGTATTAATTCTAATTTCACTTGTTGCCCCTTGACAATGGTGGCACTTTCAATTTTAATCCTTGACTATCAATTTAACCAAATTTAGACCCTTGACTTTTTCAATGAATCAAATTCAATACAAAATTTATAAAATGCCTTCACATACAAAGGGTAAAGTTTTGTGAAATGTCTACAAAATGAGGACATTTTGGAATGAATTTGGTCAATTTGAAAAAGTTGAGGGACTAAATTTTGTTGAGTTTATAGTTGTGTACTAAAAGTAAAATTGCAACTATAGTCAAGGAATAAAAGATGGTAATAATTTTAGCTTCATATAATTTAGGAAAGATAATGACATATATCTGTACTAAGTATGCTAGATATGTTTTCATTGCATTGAAAAAAAAAATGGAATAGAGAAAAAAATGAAGAATTAATATTTTGTTTAAAGAAAGGTTGGAGATAAGTTTTTTATTTGAGGCTTGTTAATTCTTGTAATGAAATTAAATTATTAGTGCATTGTAATATGCTGAATATGTATATAGGAGGGTACTGCTTTTGTCACCTTGTCATGACTAGTTGTCCCTCAACATATCATTTGATTGCTTGGGCTAAAACAAATATTGATCATATTGTGCCTTTCTGAGTAAATAAATTTGCTTGATACTTTGACATACTTTATTCCTCTTGTGAACTGTCAAATCTTACAACTCTTAATCACTATTTTCCCTTTCCCTTGTAGGAAGGGCAGGCAGGTATGGATCTAAGTATCCTGCTGGTGAAGTGACTTGTCTCTCTTCTAAGGATCTACCTTTACTTCATTCGGCACTGAATTCTCCATCTCCTATACTTGAGGTATTGACAAACTGCTAGCTGACTACTTATGACAAGTACATTTTTTGGTTCCATTTTATTTGTCCTACTTTCCTTTTAGTTCGTCTCGAAATAATGTCCACTTCCTATTTAAACACCACTTATGTTTTATTTTTCCCAATTTACGCTTTATGCCTTTTCAATTTTTAGAATATCATTCAATATGGGTCACCTTGACTTTGACTTACGAACATAAAAGTAGAGGGGCAAACTTGGAAAGTAAATCACATTTATTTATTTCCTTGAAACCCATACCAAACTCAAATACCCCTTATATTTTGGGACGGAGGGAGTATCTAACATTTGGATAATATGTGAACTATACTAATACTGGATAGAAACATGCTTTTGTAATGCAGAAAGCTGGGCTATTTCCAAACTTTGACCTTCTATATATGTATTCTCGTCTACACCCAAAGCATGGCCTATACGACATACTGGTAGGTTGATAATATCACTTTGTTTTATCTGCTGCATCTCGTCATACTGTGTATGCTGCTGTGATGGTTAAATGCTAATGATACTGTTGTTTCTCAGATCTGCCCTATTCTAATGCTGATAGCTTGCTCTATACATGTTGTCTTTCCAGGAACACTTTGTAGATAATGCAAAGTTGTCAGCGAATTATTTTATCTCTAATATTGAAGACTTGTTGGTAGGCTCTTTTATTCCCATGTAGTCAATTGATTTCTTTTTAACTCATAAACGGGTGTATTTTAGTCAAGGTTCTATTTGCTTCTTGTAATCCACCTTCTTGATTGGGTGTGCTGTATTTGATTGCAGAAAGTTGCTTCTATTATTGATGAGTTGCCGCTTAGTTTGCATGATAAGTATCTCTTTTGTATAAGGTAAAATCATAAGCTTATTCCAAGAGAAATTGTAATTCAATTGATTGCATAGGCCACATAGTCCTTACATTCATCTGTTCTGAAAAAGTGTAAATCTTCTTGATCCAAACTAGTTTACATCCAATAATCTTAGTTTGGCTTAGAATATTCCAAATGTTGATGAATCGGTATGTGTTGTCTGCAGTCCTGTTGATGTGGACGATGACCTCTCGTCTCAGGGCCTCACCCAAGTAAGAATCCGTTGCCAATTGTTAGTATATTTTTCTGTGTCCAAGCAAACTTATATTTTGAAAAGATAAATTTATTACAAGATAACTTATTTCTTGTGGGTCAGTTTGCAACAAATTATTCAAAGAATGGCATTGTTAGACTTCGAGAAATTTTTACTCCGGGGACGCTTCAGGTGCCAAAGACACAAGTTGCACTCAAGGAACTTGAATCTATTCACAAGGTTAGTATTAATGGTTTCATTTGGGAACACGGTCGAATTTTGTAAACAAATTTCGCTCTTTTGAACAATGCACAACTACCTCCCAAATATTGACCCTTTATGTAAGGTCATTTTTCAATCTAAAATTTCAACAACACTGTGTTCCTGAAGCAAGGAATTACTACATTGCACTTGTTCTTTATTGATACTCTTTTTTGGGGTGACAAGGGAAACACGCTGCTACTTCCCGAGGGTTTGCAGTGGGTAGACCGTGCCTTGTGACCTTAGCTGGCAAAGGACCATAAGGAGGTAAACTAGCTTAGGTTGCCCATAGCTGACCAGATCAAACCAAGAAGGTTGGAATTTGAACTCACAACCACTTCCCGAGGGTGTGCATTGGGGTAAACCCCGCCTTGTGACCCTAGCTAGCAAAGGACCACAGGGAGGTAAGCCAGCCTAAGTTGCCCATAGCTGACCGGCTCAAACCAAGAATGCTGAGATTCAAACTCGTGACCTTATGATTACAAGTTTGTATCATTAGTCATCTTGGCTAGGGTTACCCCCTTTTATCGCTATTCTTATTCTTACTACAACAGGGAGGTTTCCTTTATAGAATCATGGTTTACATGTTCTCAGGTTTTTGGACTGAATGCATAACTGTCTCTCACTTTACCCAAAATATGATGCTAACTCAGCTTGCTTATGAAGGTTTTGGATCTATATGTGTGGTTAAGTTTTCGGCTAGAAGAGAGCTTTCCAGACCGTGAGCTGGCTGCATCACAGAAGGCTATTTGCAGCATGTAAGTGAAAATAGTGCCCCTCCTTGGGTCCTTCCTTTAACATCATATTTTCACTGTTTATTTATATATACTCTTCTTTTTTTAGGTTGATTGAGGAGTTCTTGGAAAGACTAGGAGGGTGGCAGAAACCAATGTCAAGAAAGTTGCCTCACCAACACCAAAGGAGCAGCCGCTTGAATTCACAGTTATTCCAAGTTGCCACAAAAGAATATTAGCCATTTTTTGTTAACACAGAAAACCGACCACTACAGTGGGGTAAGGACACTGCTCTCCTTACCGAATTTTATTGTTACACAGGAAAATGGTCAAATAGGCCATTGAACTTTATACGAAAGTGCAATTAAGCCCTTAAATTTTGAAAAGCTCTAATTAAACACATCAAATTGTCATTTTTGTACATCTAGGCCCAATAGCCGGCTATCTATCGGTAAAAACTGGTAATTAGGGCTCCGGCAATCAAGATTGGCGATTGGTGAACGGTCGCCGGTCGTTGATGAGCTGGTTGCCTCCTTCAAATCGAGGAAGAAGGACCTTCGCCGGTCTTAGTTGTCAGAACCCTGATTACCGGTTTTTACCAGTGGATAACTTTTTAAAATTTACTTTTCCGTATAACGGTAAGGGTTTATTTGCCCTTTTTCCCTTGTTACACTGAGTTACGAGAAAATACTATTGCCTTTCTAAGATCTCTCTTCTCACACTGAAAGTCTGAAACCCCCACGCTGCCTTCTCTTTGTTCTGACAGGTTTTATAAGAAAAACACAGTTTTAATCCCTCAATAGTGATGTATGTCATTTGTTATTTTTGCATGAGCATGAATATTCAGTCCTCTTGGGATTTTAATCACATTACCCCGTCACTGATCCTTTCTTATTGCCCCTTCCTGCTTCAGAATCCTCAAGACCAGAACTAGAACTAGATTTCATAATTCTTTATCAGAAGACAAAGGTCGTTGTCCTCACTACTACGAGCATTCAGCATAGTTACTGACAGGGGCGGAGCCAGAAATTTCATCCGGGGGCGAAAGATTAAAACGAACGAGATATTATATCTACAACACATACATACTTAACCATTTAAGCTACTTCATCTTTGAGTAATTTATATCTATACTATTTACTTATTTCCAAACATTTACTATATATATAAAAGGTTCCCTATATATAAAAGGAGGGATGGGGGAGGGGGCAGCTGCCCCCACTGCCCCGTACTGGATCCGTCCATGGTTACTGAGATGTGCAAACTAGAGTTGTTGATTTCCTCATTATTAGTAGTTATTAGTAGCATGCTTGGGGGTTTCTGTGGATTGAGAGATTCCTAGATGATGTTCTTGCCCTTCCTCGCTCGAAGTTGTTAACCTTGAGGAGTTAATCCCTTGTATGATTATTCCCTCCATTTGATTTTTTTAAAAAAAAATTAAAATAAAAATGTCATTTTGTCATTTACAATAAGAATTCCCATTAAAATTGTTTTATTATTATTTCCTTTGTCTCCTTTTATCTGTTATATATACTATTCATTGGTCATTTATAGAGTTTTATGTCATTTATAGAGTTTTATGATTTATAAACATGGTGATATTTATATATTTGGTTGCATGTTTCTATAGTACTTCAATATATGATCAATATGTCTTGTTTCTAATATTTTTATTTTTTACAAAGATTCTTGAAGAACACTAAAATAAAATGAATGTTCAAATTGCAGACATTGATTTGAGAATTATATGTATATTTATACCGATTTTTCATATCAACTATTTTTAAGGGAATAAACCATTTCATTTTGATTTTTTTTTAAATATTAATTAAGGATTTAATATGCTTGTTTTTTGTGATGTTTGTTGTAAACAAAATATAAAAATGCAATTTGCAGTATGGTAGTACCACTGTTCTTTTTAAAATGAAAATGGCACATGAATTAAAAATTCTTATAGATTGAAGATTCATTCTAACTTATTGATATGGAAACAACATAGTAATTAAATTCATAATATTAATTTCAATCATTTTTTTTTTTTGAGTACTATTGACCCTGTTACATGTAGTATGTGTTTAAATATACTTTCTCCACCTACTGAAGCTCAACAAGTCAATACTACCCCCTTGGACCCATGACCTCTCATTTGAGAGAGTCACTTCATACTGCTTGACCACAAGGTCTTTTAATATTTCTCATTATGCATGCACTTGTAAAGTGAACAAAATTTGGTATAAATTTTTCTTTTTGTTATGGAATGTATAAGTATTATGAAATACTATAGTATAGGGACTTCATAAATATTTTGACCCATTTATTGCATATGCGGAGGAGTATTTATTCGTCTTGTGGGTTGATAGTTTGACACTTTTGTTGTATTATTGTTTTGTTTAAGAAATTTGGTTTCACACCTTTGTATAAATATGGCCACATAGCGTAGTGGATTAGCGTGTTTGACTTTGAATCAAAAGGCCGTGGTTTCAACTCCTACTATGGTCAATTGTAGCTAGATCCTATGTAATGAGGCTCAACCGAGTGGGTGGCTAGACCTTTGCAACAAGCTCACTTGAGTGAAATTTTGTTTCATACCTTTGTATAAACATGACTGCATAGCGCAGTGGATTAGCGCGTTTGACTTTGGATCAAAAGGTCGTGGGTTCGACTCCCACTGTGGTCTGTTTATTTTTGGAACTTTAGAAAAATTGCAGCTAGATCCTATGCAATGAGGCTCAGGGTGGCTAGACCTTTGCAACAAGCTCACTTGAGTGGGCAGCTATGGCTTGACCCTATGCGACTAGTTCAACCATGGAACTTTAGGAAAATTGCAGCTAGATCCTATGCAATGAGGCTCAATCGAGTGGGTGGCTGGCTTGACCTTTGCAACAAGCTCACTTGAGTGGGCAGCTATGGCTTGACCCTATGCGACTAGTTCAACCATGAAGGGCGGGTGGTTAGACCTTTGCAACAAGCTCACTTGAGTGGGCAGCTATGACTTTGGAAATTTAGGAAAATTGCAGCTAGATCCTATGCAATGAGGCTCAATCGAGTGGGTGGCTAGACCTTTGCAACAAGCTCACTTGAGTGGACAACTATGGCTAGATCCTATGCGACTAGTTCAACCAAGAAGGGCGGGTGGCTAGACCTTTGCAACAAGCTCACTTGAGTGGGCAGCTATGGCTAGACCCTATGCGACTTGTTCAACCAAAAAGGGTGACTACACCATGTGTGACGAGTTCCTTTAAAAGGATAGTACTAAACCCTATGCAACTAGCTCAGTCAAGACTCAAGAGCGGGTGACTACACCATGTGTGACGAGTTCATTTAAAAGGATAGTACTAAACCCTATGCAACTAGCTCGGTCAAGAGCGCGAGTTCATTTAAAAGGATAGTACTAAACCCTATGCAACTAGCTCGGTCAAGAGCGGGCATGCTGACAAAAGGGTGACTATGCAATGAGCTCAACTAAACGAGTTCATTTAAAAGGATAGTACTAAACCCTATGCAACTAGCTCGATCAAGAGCGGGCGTGCTGACAAAAGGGTGACTATGCAATGAGCTCAACTAAATAGATAGTGAACCCTATTGTAACACCTCACTTTTCTTAAACCTTATTAACAACTTAACCTTGAAAGATAAACTAAGCCAACGGGAAAAAAAAAAAAAAAAAAAAAAAAAAAAAAAACTTACTAAACAAACTTACGAGAGGTGTCACCGCCACAATCACCCTTCACGGTGATTGCACAGGCAAAGGTTAAACAAGCTAAACCATTCAAGTCTTACTAACATTAAAACAAACTAGGGGATAAGACCCCGGTGTCCAGCACCATCAAAACACAAGGGAAATTCAACTACAAGCCTTAAAAACAACCATCAAGAGTTTAGACTACAACTAGCTATCTATGCTAATCTAGTCTAACTCGTATTCCCTCACGAACTGGGTCCACCTGAAAGGGGTTAACAAACAACAAGTAGAAAACAAACTCGTTAGCACGAAGCTAAGTATAACGCCACTAAATCCTGTAAAATACTACAATATATACTTTTAGAAAACATTTGTTTCACCCACTTAGATCAAGTATTCTCAATCACTTAAGTAACATTAAAACATGCTCAACAGGCTTTCTATATGCTTGCAACCTAATTATCAAATAGGCATACTTTCTCAATTATTTAGCTTATCAACAATCTCATGCTTGCACATACTTATCTTATCATGGCGATATACACTAATCATACTCAAACTGATAGTTAATAATATACTTAAGCTTTAACAAGCAATCTCATGCTAACATATATCTCAACAAACAATCTCATATCATCATACATCTCAATGAACATTATCAGGCTATCATATATCACATTAGGCAACCTCATGCTATCATATAACTCAATAAGCAATCTCATGCTATCATATAACTCAATAAGCAATCTCATGCTATCATATAACTCATTAAGCAATCTCATGCTATCATATATCACATTAAGCAACCTCATGCTATCATATAACTCAATAAGCAATCTCATGTTATCATATAACTCAACAAGCAATCTCATGCTATCATATAACTCATTAAGCAATCTCATGCTATCATATAACTCATTAAGCAATCTCATGCTCTCATATATGAATGAAGGATAATATAATGTCATGCTTCTTATCTTACTTTCATGCAACACGTGCAAATCATTTAATCATGCAATGAGATGAACATGATGCTTCAGTATAATTATAGATAGATATACATATACACTCTCACTCTTAAAAAGAAATACGCTTTTCTTCACTTTCTCTAGAGTCACATTGACTCACTTTCTTTAAAATCGCAATGACTCGCTTTCTATAGAGCCGCAATGACTCACTTTTCTCTTCTTGCTCAATCTTTCTCATACTTCTCGTTTCTCTTCTTGTGCGAGGCAGGTACTCCGCCGTAGCGAAGCCCTAGCGTACGATGCAATCTCGTGCACCCGCCACATCCGTATCTACGGAACCTCTAACTCGTGGGGGAGGTAGGACCTTCACGACTCGTGAATCGACCTATACATGCTCGACAATCTAGGCGGTTTAATACTCAACTCGCCCACAGAACCACTCTCTTGGTTCTTAAACTTTCTTTCTTGCTTGCTTTCTATGTGGAATCAGGTATCGTACTTTTAGTGTGCACACCCCCTAACCAGGATTCCAAGTCCGGCGGGTAGTATCTAACCTAGTAACTCGGGAATATCAACCTCGTTACTTCTAAAATCTGTCGGTTCGCAATGACCATTTCTTTTCTCAAACTTTCTTGCTTTTCCCTTTTTCCTCCGAAAGGACATAGTCCTAACGGCCCTCCAAAACACTATTTCCCTCACAATAGATAGTGTGTGTGTATATATATATATATATATATATATATATATATATATATATATATATATATATATATATATATATATATATATATATATATATATATATATATCCTATGCAACTTCTTTCTCATGCAACAACTTTATCTATTCAAACTTATGCATAATGCTTCTCAACAACTTCTCTTTCTCACAAATTGGAAATCAAATTATCATGCAACTTCTCAATGCAACTAGATAATGATTTTCCAAAATAGATATAGGTTTTTGAAAGATTACTTAGGCTTACATTATGCCACTTATGTACTTAAAATCATGATATGCTCAAATATGAACTTTACCGTAAGAAATGTTTTACTTTCACTTCCACTGTGAACTCTCAACAATACCGAATCATGCTTAAAACTCAATACTTAGCAATTCTTATAGCAAACACTTAGCAAGTATTGAACATGCACTTGAACTCAAAATACTCAACATAAACCCGTTCACTGTAATCTAGCATTCAAGAAGTCATGCTCTGTACACTTCCAAACAACTAAGATTCTTGGCAAAATTCTCAACAAGTCATAATAGACATTTAGGCATGCTTTTATAGCATAACTTATCAAATATTGATCATACTTCTTAATCTAACAATCATATAATTATCATGCTTCTTAAACAAATAGCCAAGAACAAATCTTCACATTTTCAATTACTGTAATTATACACAGATTACTTCTACGCATGAATCAACATACTTTCTACTGTAAATTGTTCATTTTTACTCCAAAATCAATGAAATCAAATTCTACTAGTGCGTCGTACGATCCCGAGTGTCCGAGCCTCAAGGGCCCGCGAGTCCCAGTCTGAAACGACACGTAGCTGAGCCACAAGGGCCCGGCCACTACACAGGTTTGGCCTGGCTGTGACACCCCGTAAATCTAAATACTAATTGGGGATTAATTGAAGAATTAATCCAAGCTTTCTTTGGTAATCCATTTCTAAAAAAATCCTGAAATTTAATAGTTGAGGGACTAGAATTTGACTAGTCACTTAAGTCAATCAAGTGTACCTTGTGCTTTATGGCTTGTGCCCTTGCCCATTTTTCTTTCCAACCTTAGTAAGGGTAAAGGTGACTTTTACCCATGAATTGTTGTTCAAGCTATCCCTAGCAAGACATTTCATTCATTCCTCACTCAAGCCTAAGTCTCAAACACTCTAGCATCTCTTTAAAAGAACCTAGTTTATTCTTCAAGCAAAAAGGAGAACCTCCTAGCCTTGCAAGATCCTTCTCCAAGATTCCTACTTTCGTCTTTCCAAGCATAATAAAGGGTCAGGTTCATAGCTTTTTAGTGTTTTTAGCCATCTTTTGGGTGTCTTTATCTAAGTTAGAATCTTTCTTGTGTTTTGGCTTGTGTAAGAAGTTGGTGAGGAAGAAGAGCTCTAAGAAAAGGCTTAAGAGGGTGAAAAGGAGAAGTTGTTAAGCTACAAAGGTAACCCATGCTATACAAAACCTATTTTCTTACCTAAATGATGATTATTGGCTTCTATTTGATGTTCTTGATATGATTTGTGAGATTTGATGCATGATCTTGTGATGATGCATGTTTAGTGCTTGTATTTAGGTTTCTTGAATGCCATTGCTTGGCTATTTCTTGGGTTCAAGTCATATCTTTGTTGTGTGTGATATTTTGGGTGTTTTGAACTTGAATTTGGTTTTGTTGATGAATTTCCCCGAAGGGAAAAATTGTGTACAGGTGAGGTACCCCGTGGGCGGAATGGCGGGCAGTGGCCTACCCGCCGCCGCCCCACCCGCGAGGAACAGGCTGCATGTGGGTTGTACCCCGCGGGCAGGCCCACGGGTGGGGGACTACCCGTGGTCCCACCCGCGGGGAACGTGAAGGTGGTTTGCGGGGATTTGTTTCCCCGTGATTCTTTTCTTCTTGGTATTGATGTTTTGACCTCCCGTTGTTGGATTATTGAGTTATTTGTGAGTCTTCTTGATGTTTTGTATGTCTAGAACGATGTGTTAGGAATCCATGTTAGGATTTGGTGTCTTGAATCGTGTTAAGGGTCCAACTTTGTGATTCGTTGGGCTAATATGAGTCTTGAAGGTTCCTTGGAACCCTTTTGGTTTATCCGTTTGATGAGCATGCTAGTTTGATGTT